TCTTAATTTTGATCATTATGTAGGATAATGTCTTTGATTGTATAAAATACATACTTAAGAATTGTGGGGAGGCAGGGATGGAGCATCAGGTTGGCAACTTATTCTAAAATGGTGAAGGAAAATGTTCTTTATACTGTACTTGCCAGTTGTGTGATTGTGCTAAAACTTTAACAAAGTATATTAGAAATATAATCACATACAAAAGGTAATATCAAGTTTTGGTGAGAATGTGAAGCAGCTATTCCACACTGCTGGTGGATGCTTAAATGGTACAACTAGTTTGAAAAACTGTATGTCAGTTTCTTATAAAATTAAAGTTACACCTACCCTATGCCCCAGTAATTCCACTCCAGAAATGCCTACAAAAAATCTTGTACTAGAATGTTCTTAGTAGATTTATTTGATGTAACCTCAAACTGGAAAGAACTCCTACGTCCATCATAAGTGAACAGATAAATAAACTGTGATTTATCCATGCACTGGAAAATTATTCAGCAATAAATAGAAGTGCTAATACACAGAATAACATGGATGACCCTCAAAAGAATTATGTTGAGTGAAAGAAGCCAGACATTAAGTGAGTTTATACTTAAGATTCCATTTATATGAAGTTTAAGAACAGTCAAAACAAGACAAAAGAGATTGAAATTGGAATAGTTGTTGCTTTAGGGAAATGGGGATTGACCAGAAAGGGGCAAGAAAGAACTTTTTGGGTACAGAAATATTTTGTAGCTTGATTGGCTGATGGTTATATGGGCATATATATTTGTCAAAACTCATCAAACTGTACATTTAAAATCTGTGCATATTATTTTTTGTAAACTCAATTTAAAAAGGGGCACATGGGTGGCTCAGTCAGTTCAACATCAGACTCCTGATTTCTGCTCAGGTCATGGTCTCAGGGTTGTGGGATGGAGCCCAGCTTCTAGCTCCAAGCTCAGTGCTTAGCGAGGAGTCTGCTTGAGATTCTCTATCTCCCTCTGCCCTTCCTTGCCATGCTCAGGTGTGCACTAATAAATAAATCTTCAAAAAATAAGATAAAAAATAAAAAGCTAAATTTAAAAAAATTCACTAAATCATCAGCAGCGGTCACCTTTAAGGGGTAGGAGTCTTTCATTTTCCACATTATATGAAAATGTATTTCTGAAGTGTTTGAACTTTCTTCAACATGCATGTCTTAATTAAAGAGCCACATTTAGAATCTAAAAATAATTTTTTAAAGATTTTATTTATTTATTCATGAGGAACACAGAGAGAGACGTAGGGAGAGGGAGAAGCAGGTTCCTTGCAAGGAGCCCAATGTGGGACTCAATTCCTGGACTCTGGGATCAGGCCCTGAGCTGAAGGCAGATGATCAACCGCTGAGCCACTCAGGCATCCCTAGAATCTAAAAATCTAATTACATAAAGGTAGGATTTGTCCAAAGGATGCTCAAGCAACTAGTTGTTTCAGGGGAAAATTAAGTTAGATCTTCCTTTAATATATGCCCCCCCCCCAAAAGCTCAGGTAAGTCAAAGAGGTAATGTATAAAATCAAGCCATAATTTTAAATCAAGCCACAAATAACAGAAAATAGAGGTTAGTATTTATCTTATTTCCGAATGGCAAATAAACTATTTAATATTGAAAGCAATGTTAGGAATTCTAAAGGAATAGATGCTTGCTTACATAAAAGCAGTAAGATGTATAATAAAATTATATGCAAGCAAAATTAAATGCAACAAGACGTTGGGGGAATTTATAAAAACATGGTATTTGACAGACTTACAGGCAAAGCATGTGAATTCTAGAAAGGAAGGAAAATAGGTAGAAAGAAGGAGGGAGAGCAAGAGGAAAAGGAAGGAAAGAAGGAAAAAAGAGGGGAAGGGAAGAGAGAGAAGAGGAGCAGAAGGGAGGGGGAAGGAAGAAGAAGGGGGAGGAGAAGGACAGAAATTAGGATGGGAAGGAAGAGACCAAGAAATAGCACAATCTTGGCTAATCAGCATGTGCATAAAGACTAAGCCTGAAATTTTACCTGGCAAATCAGCAAGCATAAGAGTCACATTCTGGTATGTGATGGCAGTCATGGGCTGTCCTGGCAGGGAAGACAAATTCCGGGTCACTACCTGTAGGAGTGCAAATTGCTACACTTCTGGAATCCAACCTGGCAACGTGTATTCACAGCCTTTCCCATGTGTATACCCTTTGAACCAGAAATATCACTTTTTCGAGGCTGCCTAAAGGACGTGATCGTTAAGAATCGCTCTTTTCGGGATGATTCATAATTGCCAAAAGACGGTCTTAAACGATAGCCTAAATGCCAACATTATGGGACTGCACTTCGTCAAATCACAGGATACCTGTTCGATGGATTATTCTTCTACCATTAAAAGGAGCTTATAAGTGAGGTTTTAATGACACTTTTTTTTTTTTTTTTTTTTAATGCCCACGATGCATGAAGACTAGCCGGGCTGGCTCCCGTTTGCCTCCGAGAAACAGAATTTCCCACAGGTGCAGAAACACCGCCTCTAGACACACCCCCTCCCCCGCACGCCACGCCCCCCCCCCCCCCCGTATTTTAAATATATCAAACGTTAAATGGTACCTCTGCCCCACAGACACATGCATTAGTCAAGGTTTGTGCCGCAGAACACAAGCCACTCCGCGTCTTCTGGGTCCCGGGTGCGACCCCGCAGCAGCTCCCGCGGGGGCTGGAGCAGAGGAGGGAGCCGCGCGGGGGAAGTCGCCGCCGGGGCTCAGGGGGCGCAGGCGCGCTCAGCCCGAAGCCGGGCAGCCTCGGCGACTGTCGCGGCCGCCACCGCCTCTGCAGGACCACCGAGCCCCTCGCCCGCCCGTCTCTACCTTCCAAATTTCCCCCCCGAATTCCTCTCCTGCAAACTCCCAGCCTCCAGGTGCGGGGCATTCTGGGAAATGTAGTTCGCGGCTGCTCTGCATTGCGGAAAAGGGGTGGACAGGATGCGGGGTGCTCCGGAAGCCTCTCCAGCATCACCCTCCCTCCTACTCACCTGTCCGAGCCCCGCGACTAGTCAGGAGGCCACAGGTGTTAGGGTCCAACAGAAAGATACTCCGGATGAGGGGTGACAGAGGTGGTTGGTAGCACACATTTTATTATTAAAATAGCTCATTTTTTTGCACGTGTCAGGCACTTCCAGCTTATTTTATTACAATTTTGCAAAGCAGAACACAGCATGGAGCTGTAGGACTCTTTTTTTTTTATGGAGCTGTATGATTTAAGCCAATTTATAGATCCTTTTTAGAAAGATTGGAAAATATTAATAAAACTACTCAAAAAACTGTTGGAACCCCTCATACACGGGTACCAATGTATAATGCTGCGGCCACTGGGGAAAACAGGCAGGCAGTGCCTCAAAAAAGTTAAGCGTGTTACTTAAAAATTTCAAAAATTAATAATAAAAAAAATAAAGAGGTACCTGCTGGTTCAATCCATAGAGCACATGACTCCTGATCTCAGGGTTGTGGTTCGAGTCCCACTATGGCTATAGCAATTGCTTAAAATTAAAAATTTAAAAAAATCTTTAAAAGTCAATCATAGAGGGACTGTATAACCCAGCAATTACCCTCCTAGGTATATATCCAAGAAAGGTGTGCTCACACAAAAACTTGTCCGCTAACGTTCACAGCAGCATTATTCTTACAAGTCACAAATGGAAACAATACAAATATCCACCAACAAACCAATGAATAAGCAAATGTGATATATCCACACAATGGAATATTATTTGGCCATGAAAAGAAGTGAAACACTGGTACATGTTACAATTGGAAATACTATGCTAAATAGCAGACACAAAGGCCACATACTTTATTATTTCATTCATATAAAATGTCCACAACAGGCAAATGTATAGAGATAGAAAATAGATCTGGGGCAGAGGAGAAACAGGGACTGGGGAATGATTGCTGGCAGTAATTGCTAATAATTGCTAATACCAGGTTTCTTGTGGGAGTGACAAAGAATGTTCCAGAATTAGAAGTGGTGATGGCTATATGACTCTGAACACACAAAAAATCATTGAATTTTTAAAACTTGTGGTAAAATATACATAAAATTTATCATTTTAAGAATATTTAATTGTGTGTTTCAGTAGCGTTAAGTACATTTACATTGTTGAGCAACCATCACTACCATCCGTTTCCAGAATTGTTTTCATTTTGCAAAACCAAAACTCCATATCCCATTAAATAATATCTCTCCATTCCCTCTTCTCCTAGGAATGAATTTGACTTCTCTAGGCTCCTCACGAAAATGGACTCATACTGTCTTCATCTTTTCGTGACTGGTTTATTTCACTGAGCATAATATCCTCAAGTTTCATCCATGCTGGAGCATGTGCAAAATTTCCTTCTTTTTCCAGGCAAGATTATATTTTACTATGTATATATTATGTATAATATACATAACATTGTATATATATCACATGATATTTATACATTCATCTGTTGACAAACATTTAGGTTTCTTCCATTTTTTGGCTATTGTGAATTATGCTGCTATGAACATGGGTGTTCAAATACCCTTTTTTTTTTTTTTTGAGACTTCGCTTTCAATTCTTTAGGGTATATACCTAAGAATGGAATTGCTGGGTCATATGGAAATTTTATTTTGAATTTTTGAGAAACTGCCATGCTGTTTCCCATAGTAGTTATCCCATTTTTCATCCCCACCAGCAATACACAAGGATCCTAGTTTTTCCACATCCTCATCTACATTTGTTATTTTCTGTTTAAATTATTTTTCTTATGATAGACACCTCTTTAATTAAATTAAATTAATTTATTTGACAGAGAGCACAAGCAAGGGGAGTGGCGGGCAGAGGGAGAGGGAGAAGCAGATCACTGAGCAGGGAGCCTGATACAGGGCCTGATCCCAGAACTGTGGGGTCATAACCTGAGCCAAGGGTAGATGCTTAACTGACTAAGCCACCCAGGCACCCCTTATGATAGCCATCTTAATGTTTGTGAAATGGTATCTCATTGTGGATTTTTTTTTTACACCTCATGAATTTGCATGTCATCCTTGTGCAGAGGCCATACTAATCTTTTCTGTATTGTTCCAATTTCAGTGTATATGCTGCTGAAGTGAGCACTCAATGTGGTTTCAATTTGCATTTTGAATTACTCACTCTTAAAGGGCGAATTATATGGTACGTGAATTATATCTCAATTTTAAAAACTATTCATTGAGAGACCCTTGTGCACTGAGTACACCTGATGTCCAGACCTTGGTTTCTAAGCATCTTTCATCACACACACACACACAAAAAAAGCCAATTTGGGGTGGAGAAAGTTGCAAGGTGAGCCTGGGACATTTCATTGTACCAGAAAGCAAGGAAATGCTCAATGATGGGGTGTGTCTAAAGGACACTGGCCAAATTTGGGACAACTTGAGCATCAAAATTAGTAATGACTATACTTGTAAAATATTTTATAAATAACAATTCATGAATTCATGGTAATAAAAAGGAGAGAAAGTGGTGATTCTTTACAGAAGAGTGTTAGCTAATAAATGTAAAAGGAACTAGAGAATTTAGAAATCACCATTTTGCAATTCCTAATGAAATAATTGGTTCAAGCAAGGATTTGGTAATAGATGCTACAACCATTAAGTGAACAATTATTACGAACTGGTATCATCTCCTGTATTACTTTTAATTGCAAAGGGAAACATATGCCTTTGCAATGGAGAAATCTGGCAAGTCCTACTTTTTAAAAATTAATTAATTAGAGTAATCTCTGCACCCAACGTGGAGCTCAGACTCACAACCCTGAGATCAAGAGTCGCTTGCCCCACCGACTGAGCCAGCCAGGAGTCCCTGGCAATTACTACTTTAAACATGTGATTAGTTCAACATCATGAATCATAGAAAAACCTGACTTATGTGCTTTCTTTCTAATATGATGCAATAGTAAGTACACAATGAATCTTACTAAAAATGTGTGGCCTGAATGTAATCAACCTTCTCTAGACCCCCTCTTCATTTTCTGGGGATTCAGGGGATAGTGGGACAAGTTCAAGGGCACCATGTAGAATATTCTACAAGGTACTTGACCACAAATCTTCAAAAAGTCAAGCCCACAGAAAAGGGGAAAGAAACAACAGCAAGGGACTGCTGTAGATTAAAAGACACTTAAGAAACCTCATTAAATAATAGCAAAGAGAGCAAAACATCACACTTGTTCAGTAAGGGTCTACTGCTGGCTGCACGTAGATTTCGTAAATGGGTGCTAACATTATCCAGGCACATTATTTATCATGCTTTAGTGATAAAACTAAAATATTTATTTTTAAAACTTGTTAATGAATGGAAAGTTTTATTGCAATTCTCTATAGTATTTTCCCCCTATGGGAAAAGAAATCATAATCACAGAAATGGCTGTCCTTGAAAGCATATAATATAGCATGCACTTCAAGAATTTTGTATGATTTATCACTAAATCACAGATTCAGCCTGGAAGAAAATAGAAATGTATGGAACAATTTTTCATTTCACTGGGCATGCAAACCCCTTCCACCTGTTAATGTCATTAGCTGCAGGATGGGCCACTCCATAATATAATATTTCTAGACAAATGAAGCTTTTAAAATAGCACTGCCCAAAGAAATGTAATGTGAGCCACAAATGTAAACCCATATACAATTTTACATTTTTAATAGTTTTTAAAAAAGTAAAAATAATTTTAATAATATATTTCATTTAAAACAATACATCCAAAACAAGACTTCCATAAGTCATCAACATAAAAGTCATTAAAAGACATTTTACATTCTTTTATTGTACTGTTTTTGAAGTCTGGTACATAATTTATACTTCTAGCTCATTTCAATTTGGACTGGCCACACTGCATATACCTAACCATGGCTTACATGTGGGACAGTGCAGGTCTAAAGTAATAAATGCTGAATTATTGAATCTAAATAGAATTGGTTTTAAGTGCTACAGACGATGGGACACCTGGGTGGCTCAGTGGTTGAACTTCTGTCTTGGGCTCAGGTCGTGATCCCTGGGTCCTCGGATCAAGTCCTGCATCAGACTCCCTGCCTGCTTCTCCCTCTGCCTGTGTCTCCACCTCTCTCTCTGTGTCTCTCACGGATAAATAAATAACAACTTTTAAAAAAAGATTTAAGTGCTACAGATGACTGGTATCAAATACAAAATTTTCAAAAATGAACTTTCCTAATACATACGTTTGCTTTGGCACTAGATTTTTTTTCTTCCCCCAGGGGCCAACAACATAAGCTGAAAAAATATTATTTACCTACCACATGACCAACATCTTTGCATTTAGGGTAAAAGAGTGGCAATAACAGTTGGGGTGAAAAGACCTCCAGTTTTTACACATATACGTTCAAAATCATTAAACACTAAGCCAGCTTATAACGCGGTTTGCCATGAGTGTCTGGATGCAAGGGAGATAAATGTCCCAAATTCTCCCTTCAGAGCAGCCTTGGCTTTCTTCCTTTTAGATTCCCAGCCCCAGGCCCTAAGGCACCAGCAGGTGGGCTGATAGGGGCTCTCTTTTTCTCTGCCCTGCCTCATGGACACCACCAGATCCGTGCTTTGCCACGTCCCTGCCTCACAGACCTGTAGGTGCAGCAACGCCACCTCCTTGTGTCTCAACCATCCTGGAGGGAAGGCTGCTATTATCTGCCTTCCCAGCGACTCAGGCTCGCCCCGATGGTCCCCTTTCCATCCAGTTGTTTCCTGCAGGTAAGACCCCCTGCCCTCCGTCCATCTGGGGAGCTAAGTGCTAGCTGCCCTTCCCTGCCTGCTGTAAATGTCACATCCCTAAGGAAGCTTGCTGTCCTGGCGGTCAGCCAGCTACTCTCACCCTTTGTGCCCAGACTGAGTCGCTTGTCCACTGCCATTCACCTAGCTGGTGGTTGTCCCCAGGTGTATCTTACCTTGCTTGTGAGCCTGCAGGGGCGAGATCATGGTGTCCTGCAGACTGCGGCCTCCTGCCCGCCTCGGCTGCTGGGGCTGCCGTGGGCACTCGGGCATAGAACCACCTCCCCAAGGCTTTGCCACAGCGTGAAGATGCCTACAGAGTCCAAAGACGTGCATAATTCTTGCTTAAGAATTGAATTCCTAATTCAACTTAAGTATGCGTGGTACTCATGGTGACTTTGGCACAGAGCAAAGATCAGGGCCGTAGAAGACATTGGCCTTTTGGGAGATTCTCAGCTTCACCCTGTTCTGTGTCCACGCCTGGTGCCATGTGACTCTGCAGCTCCACACCATCATTTCCCCAGCCTTGAATCTGGGCTGGCCACACCACTTGCTCTGGCCATTCGCATGAGTCACCTGGGTGGCTCAGTGGTTGAGCGTCTGCCTTAGGCTCAAGTCATGATCCCCAGCTGGGTCCTGGGATTGAGTCCCACTTCGAGTCCTGCTTCTCCCTCTGTCTCTGCCTCTCTCTCTGTGTCTCTCATAAATACAATCTTTAAAAAAATGAATGAGACAGAAGAGACAAAAGGGTCAGTGAGGATCCTCGGCCACCAAGTAAACATGATCAGTGTGGACACAGTGGGAGGAGAGGAGAGTCGGCTGTCTGGGCCCCCATAAGCCTGTCTGGCTCTGCTAGTAACCCAGCAGGATCCCTAGGGTGAGGCCCTTTACCTCCTGGGTCTTGGTTTCCTCCTCTACAAAATGAAGAGACTCAACCAGGATAATGCTGAAGAGTCTTCTAGATCTTTATCATTTCACGTGCATGAGAACTATTTCCACATATGTATTATGTACAGGCGTTCTCACGGAACTGGTACCAGCCACTGGGGAAACCGAGAGTATCCCATACGTGGAGCAGAGAATCGAGATGTGTTTACACAGGCTTAGCAATCACTGAAATCTTAAACCATCTTTGAAAGTAGTCTCTAAAATTAGTCACTACTATGTCCCAAGTGCTTTCATGTATCATTGTCTCGTCTCATCCTCCCAAACAAGCAAGATGGATATCAATTTCTTGTGACTTCCGGGGAAACGTCACCGCATACGTTAAACAACCACCTGGGGTCGGGCAGTTAGTGGATGGTGGGTGGTGCCCAGATTTAGATCCTGGTCCTACCCAGAGTCCATGCCCTGCCTGCCAGGCTGCACTGCCTTGAGACACAGAAGCTAATGTGACTAACTCCATGCATTTTGTTGTGAAGACAATCTAGTAAAACACTTTTTTCTTAACCGCACTTAAAGATTTTATTTATTTATTTATTTATTCATTCATTCATTCATTCATTCATTCATTCATTTTTGAGAGATGGAGAGAGTGTGCACACCTGCGTGAGCATGGGAGGGTGGGGAGCAGAGGGAGAGGGAGAGAGAACCCCGAGCTGACTGTCAGCTCAGAGCAAAGCCCAACCCTGGACTGGATCCCATGACCCTGACTGAGATCAGGCCCTGAACCAAAATCAAGAGTGGGATGCTTAACACACTGAGCCACCCAGGTACCCCCAATCTAGTAAAAGACTTTTAAAACTGGTAATTTTTTAAAAATATATATATATACTTTCATCCTTTCCTCTCAGTGTTTATACCTAGGTACAAATCCACAGTTAAGCCTTTCCCCTTAACCTCCACTTCTCTGGGGCAGTTCCCCTGGTCAGAGCTTCCCATGGTCAGGGACTCACATTTCCTGGAACATCATTCACATTTAGAACATGGATGTTATGCCCTAATGAGATTATATCTCTGCTTATAAGGTGCACTGACAAGAATGGAGGAAAGCTATTTTTCTTACAATTTTAAACTTGTGGCCCTTTACTGGACACCAGTGCTGATAGTGCATTGTTCATTTATAGCCTTATAATTCTTCTAGGTATCTAATATGTCACAAAAGGTAAACAATTGCACATTTTGTATTTTTAGGAAGGTCACGTTCATTATGTATAAACATTTAAAATATGCTCTAAGTGTTGGAACTCTAGTTTGAAATTTCCATATTTTATAACACAGACTTGATAAAAGAAGAAAGGGGCTGTCTACTAAGAAACAACAGTTTCCAGTCACCTGTGAGCCCTTCAGGGTACAGAGAACACTAATCTGATAGGATGGCTGGTTTCATGTTCTTTCTAGAGAGGAACAGAATATACATA